GGAACACGACGACCGGAACGACCAGAACGGACAGGCGAGACAGGACGCGACGCAGGCTCACGACGCTCAGTAACGGAAGACCAGTAGACGAAGGGAGACTAAGAACCTGGCGAAGCACAGAGTCAGACGGTGGCTGAGACGACGGAGACGGTGGAGCAAAGAACACGCGCGGCTGTGCAGTGCTACCAGCACCAGCAGCTCCAGCACCCCCAGCAGCTCCAGCACCTCTAGCAGCTCCAGAACCCTCAGCTCCAGCTCCTCCAGGACCAGCTCCACCAGCAGCAGCACCCCCAAAACCGGCACCTCCAGTCCCAGGGTCTCCAGCCTTAGTGTCTCCAGCAGCAGCACCCTCAGGCTCAGCACCTCCAGCCCCAGCAGCTCCAGTACCTCCAGCACGAGCACCTCCGGGACCAGCACCACTCCCAGCTCCAGTGACGTCAACAGAAGTACCTCCAGCGGCAGAGCCCCGAGCTCCAGAAGCGCGACCCTGACGGCGACCGTACCAGTCGTGCAGCTGCTGTGAGGTGAGAGGCACACGCGGACGAAGGCGGCTACTCCAAGGAGACTGCGCAACAGCAGACTCAAAACCGTTCGTGCCAGCACCCGCAGCAGCTCCAGAACCTCCAGCGCCAGCACCCTCAGCAGCTCCAGAACCTCGAGCTCCAGCGCCACCAGCGCCAGCACCTCCAGCAGCTCCAGAACCTCCAGCTCCAGCACCCTCAGCAGCTCCAGAACCTTCAGCAGAAACAACTCCAGGAGCAGAGTCACCAGCTCCAGCGCCTCCCGCAGCAGGGCCCCTAGCTCCAGCAGCGCGACCCTGACGGCCAACGTACCACTCACGCAGCTGCTGTGGGGAGAGAGGGAGTCGACGACGAGAGTGCAGCGGCGAGGTACCAGCGGAGCGACTACGGAGACGGCCGCTCCAGGGAGACTGCTCACCAGACGCCTCAGCGCCCCCTGGTGCAGCACCCCCAGACTCAGTACCCCCAGGCTCAGCACCCCCAGACTCCTCACGCCCAGGCTCAGCACCTCCAGTCTCCGCACCCCCAGGCTCCGCACCTCCAGGCTCCGCACCCCCAGGCCCAGCACCCCCAGGCTCCGCACCCCCAGGCTCAGCACCCCCAGAAGTAGCACCCCGAGCAGGACCACCCTCAGCAGGACCTGAGTCATCAGTGACCTCAACCGGCGCAGTCAAGGGAGGAGGGTCTACCTGAGACACACCTGAAGGAGCAGGACCCAGAGCGGGGAGGGGGTCTACCTGGGGAGCACCTGGAGCGAAGAAGAGCGGCGGGGGGGGGGAGAGGGGCAGTGCGGTAGGGGAAGAGACGGTAAAAGGGAACCGACTCGTTGAACATGACGTTCTGAGAGGGGAAGACACGGCGCGAGGTGGGGTGATAAAACTGCCAACCAGGCGCGTCAGGGACAAAGCCAAGGAAGACACAGGGAACAGCGCGGGCGGAGAGCTTGTCCGCGGTGGTATCGCGGACAAAGGCACGAGCACCCCAGACCCGGAAACGCGACGCATCGCCAACCTTCCCCGTCCACAGCAGTGTGGGCGAGGTCTCCGGCAAGGAGACACGGGGCCAGAGGTTGAGCTGATGCGCGGCGTACCGGACCGCAAACGGCCACAGAAAATGGGGGGCAGCCGCATGGATCATGGAGGTACGAGCGACCTCCATGACTAAGTCAATGCGGCGCTCAGCAACCCTTTTCTGCTGCGGAGAGGCCGGAAGCATGAACGTCTGGCGGATGCCGTGCTCCGCATAGAAAGCTGCCAAGAGGTCTGAGGAGAACTCACCTCTGTCAGACTGCAGACGCAGGACAGGAAAGTCCGACTGGAACCGCTCGCGGAGCTGGAGACGAACAGCGCGGATCCAGGGGATCAAAACATCAGGGACCTCCCCCTTGCGCTGCAAGGGGAAGACCGTGGTGTAACGCGTGTAATCGTCGACGACCAGCAGGAAGTACCGCTCGTGGCCCTGTCCACGGACGCGGGCTGGGACCCACACGTCTAGGTGGAGAGTCTGCAGGGGAGCCTCTGTGGGAGGGAACGAGGAGGAGTGAAGAGCGGCGCGCTGCCGCCCCTCGACACAGGGAAGACAGGGAGGAGCAGGCGAGGGTGGGAGGGGAGGGAGAACCCTGGGAAGATCAGAGACAAGGTAAAGGGAGTGCATGCCACGAAGGTGCTGCATCGAAGGGTGACCAAGGCGGTGGTGCCAAAGGAGGGTCCGGTGCGACAGGGTGTGACACGAGTAGGGGGCCGACAACTGACATGACGCAGACGCAGACGCAGCTACCTGAGGGGACTCAGTGGTCAGTGTGTACAGGCCCGACCCCGGCTGCCTAGTGAAGGTAGCCAGGTGACGACCCGTCTGAGCACACGTGCAGTGTGTCACACGCTCGTAGGCAGGGGTGAACTGGTGAACACCCGCGTCCTGGAGCGCAGAGCCCGCCACCAAGTTCGTAGAGAACGAGGGGAGGTAAAGACCCGACAGTGTGCCGGCCGGGACGGCAGGACAAGGGAGGACAGTGGAGGACAGTGGTGGAGGTTGCACGGACTGGACCCCCAGAGGGGTCTGCCAGAGAGACTGCAACCGGCCGACTGAGCGGCGTGAGGGAGGTGCTGTCGCGAAAGAAGGAGCGAGAAGCACCGGAGTCAAGTGTGAAGGTGTACAAGGCCTCAGCAGGCGCAGTACCAGAGAGAGCAGACTCACCAGCACCAGGAGCAGAAGCCTCACTAGCACCTAGGGCAGCAGCCTCACCAGCACCTAGAGCAGCAGGCTCTATACCTGGGTCAGGCGGTACGCACAGGTAACAGGCACGGTCAGCACTAGTAGGCAATGCATACATGGCAGTGAGAATAGCATCATAGTCAAGAGCAAAGATATCTACCCTCTGCCTAAGCAGCTCCAGCCAGGTGGGGAGCTCAGCCTCGTCGCCAAACTCGGTACGCCAGGCGTCGCTCAGACGGGCGAAGCAGCGGGACTGTGTGTGACTAAGCGTCCCGCAAGCCTGACCAGCCCGATCACCTGTGCGAATGACGTACAGGCAGTGAACGGTACTCAAAGACCCTCTACTCTGAGCGTACCACTCGTGAAGCTGCTGGGACGTAAGTGTCTCGCATGGACGTCGCTGCAGCTGCAGCTGGCCACTGCCAGACGCTCCCAACTGACCAGCTCCAGGGCGACAGCTACGACGGCTACCGCCACAACCCCAACTAGCGTACCACTCACGAAGCTGCTGGGGCGGGAGAGACTCGCGTGGACGTCGCTGGAGCTGCATCTGGCCACCGCCAGTAGCAACAGTAGCAGTAGCAGTAGCCTAGCAGTAGTAACAGAAGTAGCAGCAGTAGCAGCGCGGGCAGGGCAGGCGCGGCAGGCAGGCAGGCAGACAGGCAGGCAGGCAGGCTGGCAGGCATGGAGGCAAGCAGATGGCGCGGCAGCGCGCTAACAAGGCAGGTGCTTACCAGTGGCGGGAAGAGCAGGCGCTCGCCGGGCGAGCAGGGCCGGCGCTCGGCGGGCGGCTGCACGGGGTCCAGGGGCGGCGTCGCGGGTCCAGGGGCGGCTGCACGGAGTCCAGGGGTGGCTGCACCAAGGGCGGCTGCTTCAGGGGCCAGGGGCGGCTGCTCTGGGTCCAGGGGCGGCTGCTCGAGGGTCCAGGGGCGGCTGCACCAGGGGCGGCTGCTGCAGGGGCCAGGGGCGGCTGCTCTGGGTCCAGGGGCAGCTGCTTGAGGGTCCAGGGGTGGCTGCACCAGGGGCGGCTGCTGTAGGAGCCAAGGGCGGCTGCTCTGGGTCCAGGGGCGGCTGCTCGAGGGTCCAGGGGCGGCTGCACCAGGGGCGGCTGCTTCAGGGGCCAGGGGCGGCTGCTCCGGGTCCAGGGGCGGTTGTTCCAGGGGCGGCTGCTTCAGGGGCCAGGGGCGGCTGCTCGGGGTCCAGGGGCGGCTGCTTCAGGGGCCAGGGGCGGCTGCTCTGGGTCCAGGGGCGGCTGCTCGAGGGTCCAGGGGCGGCTGCACCAGGGGCGGCTGCTTCAAGGGCCAGGGGCGGCTGCTCTGGGTCCAGGGGCGGCTGTTCCAAGGGCGGCTGCTTCAGGGGCCAGGGGCGGCTGCTCGGGGTCCAGGGGCGGCTGCTCCAGGGGCGGCTGCTGCAGGGGCCAGGGGCGGCTGCTCTGGGTCCAGGGGCGGCTGCTCGAGGGTCCAGGGGCGGTTGCTCTGGGTCCAGGGGCGGCTGCTCCAGGGGCGGCGTAGCTGGTGCAGGGCAGCGCGCGAGTCCCACAGGCGCCGTGACGGGCGACGGGGGGCAGCGCGCCGTCACCGGAGGAGGCGACGCGCGGGGCCGGCGGCAGGCTGCGCGGGCGGCTGACGTAGCGCGCGGGGCCGAAAATGGGCTGTACGGGCTTCGCGACGGGCCTACGTGGGCTGTACGGGCTTCGCGACGGGCCTACGCGGGCTGAACGGGCTGTGCTCGGGCCTACGCGGATTGTAAGGGCTGCGCACGGTAGAAAAGGGCAGAGGCAGCGTGAAACGCTGGGCAGGGCAGAAACTAACGGTCGGGCAGGTAAAAACGAATGTGGTGGGCCCTTAATTACGATCCTAGGCTAGGAACGTCATAGCTCTTAATACCATGTCGAGATTAGCTAGGAAGGAATGATTTGATTAGGTGAAGGTTGGGGTACAAAACTAGAGTGTCGAGAATGTTTCTGTACCCCCTAAGGCTAGCCCCAATATAGCCTAGATAATAATATGCATATGTTTTGACATCACTATTGTCACTCTGTCCACTGTCAACCACGATAAACTGCATATGGCGCTTTTCCAGCTGGGAGAGATTACTGTACAGACGTTTGAATTAATCCGTACTTATTCAAGCATGGGTTCTTTGACCTTGGAAACCTACTTAATTGTACCATTGTGAGGACAAAAATGGCAGGCGTGCACAATTCGCACGGGATTGGGTCACAGTTCGTACATGTTGCCAATGGTACACAAGATGGGTGACACATACCGGTAAGAGAAGTATCGTTTACAGACGAGTCAGCATCAACAAGGGATGTGAAGGTGACCCTTTCGATAGCCCAACCTGCACACAACCGCACACGTGCGCAGCGTAACAAAGAGGTTACACGACACACACTTGGAATGGGGGGTCACAACCATATTACCCGCGAAGACCCAATGACTGGCACATCATCGTTGACCCGGAATACATGTCAAAGGTGAACTGCCTCGGAAAATCATGGCATTTGGTCTGTGAAGCAGCAATCACCGTATTAACGTCCTGAGAGGCAAGCAGTGGGGAGCAGTAGGAGAAGGGGGGAGCAGGGGGAATCAGGGAGAGAAGGGTGAAGCAGGGGGGAGCAGGGGGGGAAAGGGGAAGCAGGAGAACGCAGGGTGAGAAGGGGGAAGAGGCGGTGATCAGGAGAAAGAAAGTGGTGAGATGACAAAGATGAGAATAAAAGCTGATGCATACAGAAATCGAGAATGGAGAAAGGAGGAGAGGAAAGCAGGAGTAAGCGGGTGAGATTTCAAGAGTTGTAGAATTACCTGGGCAACGGAGGAGGAAGAATGCGGAAGCAGTACGACACAGGTGACCGCATGGAGATACAGATGAGAGGGAGAAAAAGGAGACACCAGGAAAAGGTAGGAGAATGCTGGTGAAAGCAGGAGAACTAAGGTGGAAGCAATTGAAAGGAGACCGAAGTAATGTCATGATTAAAGTGAAAACAAGGAACACTTTCAGTAATATCATGAGTAACATTTACTGTTAGACCTTCTTTTGCGCAAAAACAACACACCGCGTGGGCTATACACACAGAGCATAACGGCTCCGAAAAGCAAAGTACAAAAACAGGACATGCATCACGCCTGATGCTTACCTGAGTCTAAGCACTCAGTTTCTTTTAGCGAGAGGAACACCCATGGCGCAATCCTCGGAACATCTACTCGTGAAGGTTCGACCTCTGACACAGGTGTAAACGTTGACATGGCGGAGCGAAGACGAGACGCGAAGACTCGTACTATCTGCGTGCTCTGTCGAGGACGAAGATGACACTGCCTGCGGGATGGTACATCGGGAGCATGTATATAAAACGGGGAGTGAAACATGCTACCGAACATGCAGATAAGTGACCACATACTTGGCGAGCCCTGAATATTAAAAAAAAAAAACAGAATACCTGCCTCGCGTATGACGCACTCCCCATAAGCGTGACTAACTTCGTCGCGTCCAGGCCTCGCACGCAACAACCTGCAACTTCACAGAATAGGAATAGCGTAAAACCCTCAAGCTGCGCACAGCATCAGCGGAACTCAGAGCTAAGTACGTAATTGCTCGCGCGTTTCCAAAAAAGCAGCAACACCGAACTACAGCTACTTCGAAACGCATAGCAAAAGCGCAACTACTGTCGAAGCTCTGTACCTGTGCCGCCCATCTGAAATTACAGATCTCTCCCGGGTGTTGAGGGGGATGCAATGCAAGTTATCCCAACGCGCACATACACGCTAGGACCCAGAAGTAGTGACGGGAGGGGGCAGTGCAAGGTAGCAGTAACCTGCTTCTAGAGAGTCGCGCCGAGAAGTTGTCTGGCTGTTTACGAATGAGGACTTGCTTCAGAGCGTGGTCACTGAAATACGTCTGTGCCTGGGGATTGAAGTCGTCTCACAAAGGCTGTGAGGAGAAGCCGCCCGATTGGTCAGCGAAAAACACCCACCGTTAAACCGAAGCCATCACTGTACCTGGTGGCGATATATACATACCGCACTAGTGAGTAAGGACCTGGGACCCTGTAAGTTGGTTGGCATATAAAACAGGCAAGCCTATCATATTTTGTGCAAGCCAAACGATTGGTTTGGAAGCTAGGGAATGTGGTGCGCAGGCTCAAATACCCTGTAAGAAAAGTATGATCAACTACATTAATCGTCAACAGAGGACACATAAACAAAACCACCAGAAGCATCGAAAGGTAAATGCGATAGAATAAAGAGCCAAAAGAAGGAGAGGGTCAATGGGGCAGCAAAGCATAGAGAGGTCAGGGACTGCTGCGCATGTCACCAAGAGATGTCTAACAGGGTCTTTTTGAGATTGCAACGTTGCCAATGACCGAAGCCAAGAAAACCCATGGCTGGTGGCAGGATACACATGTTCATACAAACAGAAAGCCGTCCCCCCATGCAGCCTGGACAGGTCCAGCCTGTGTGACCGGGGCAGGCCCTGCCTGTGCGGCCGGTGCAGGCCCAGGACGTGCGGCCGGGACGGGCTCAGCCTGCGCGGACGTGACAGGCACAACCTGGGCGGCAGGGACAGGCACGAATGGTGCGGCCGGGACAGGCACAGGCTGCGCGGCTGGGGCCGGCAAAGTCTGGAAGGCCGGGACAGGCACAGGCTGCACGGCTGGGGCCAGCACAGGCTGCACGGCTGGGGCCAGCACAGGCTGCACGGCTGGGGCCAGCACAGGCTGCACGGCTGGGGCCAGCACAGGCTGCGCGGCCGGGACAGGTGCAGGCTGCGCAAAGCGGTTGATGCCCTCCGTGTCTTCAATGCCGTCGATGGAAATGAGTATCTTTCCGTTCGTAGAGAGGGCCCACGCCCTTTCACTGGCCTTGTACCAGGGGCCGCTCCCGTTGACAGAGGGGGCCATAATGGCAGCCTTACACCAGGCCGTCACATTCCGTAGATACTCGCGAACCTTCCTGCCGTTGATGCCAGGACCGTGCGACACATCGGCACCGTTGTTGATAATACGATGCTCGACCTGCAGGATGATAGGGCATGCAGGACAGGAATGGATAAACAGGCGGGATGTAGAGAGAGGGGGACGTGAGAGGGGGAAGTTGGGTTATGGCAGGATGGACGTGTCAGAATAGATTTTGAAAACACCTGATAATGGACCTGCCCCACACCCTCTTGGGTATGCGGTGGGACTGAATCACCGTCAGGTGTGGAATGTTGTCAAGGAAGCTATAATTTGAGAGCCTGTGGTGAAATATGGGCAAGTAGGCTAACATAGGAGGGCTTGGGGGGAAGAAACAGAGGGGAGAGGGGGGAGGGGGATTATGATTGCATGGGGGCGTGAGAAGGGATTGTGAAAACACCAGGGTGTGCCCTGTCCCCACTCCCTCCCAGGTAATCCCTGGACTGAAACACCCACAGGGCGGAAATATGGGCAAGGAGGCTAACAAAGGAGGGCTTGGGGTGAAGAAACAGAGGGGAGAGGGGGGAGTGGGATTAGGATTGCTTGGGGGTGTGAGAAGGGATTGTAACTAACACCAGGGTGTGCCCTGGCCCCACTCCCTCCCAGGTAAGCCCTGGACTGAAACACCCACAGGGCGGAAATATGGGCAAGGAGGCTAACATAGGAGGGCTTGGGGTGAAGAAACAGAGGGGAGAGGGGGGAGTGGGATTAGGATTGCTTGGGGGTGTGAGAAGGGGATTGTGAGAACACCTGGGCGTGCCTTTGCCCCACTCCATCCTAGGTACTCCCAGGACTGAAACACCCACAAGCGGGAAATATGGGCAAGGATGCTAACATAGGAGGGCTTGGGGTGAAGAAACAGAGGGGAGAGGGGGGAGGGGGAATAGGATTGCATGGGGGCGCGAGAAGGATTGTGAAAACACCTGGGTGTGCCTTTGCCCCACTCCCTCCCAGGCTTGCCCTGGACGGCTTCACCCACGGGACGCGCACTGAGCATGCTTGAAGCCAACTTACCCCATGCAAGAAATATGCGACATGGTAGAGCTTGGCGACGGCAGGATGCGACTTGTTTTTGAAAAGAGACTCGTGCAACGCATCCTCAAATGCAGGGTGCGAGAAAGGAATGCCGCCTTGGTGGGGGTATCGAGTCCATGTGAGGTATCACCACACCCAAAATGCGAGGCTTTTTCATGTGGGGTGTTTTGCAGAATGGTGTCTTTGCTGAAGACCCATTTCCCGCGGGATGGTGATGGCTGGAATCTCATCAAGATTCACGGCCTTAGTCATCTCCCGGAGGCCATTCGCCGTGGTGGACACCCACGCGAGTATTCCACAGCCACGTATAAGAACGCGCACGTTCGTGCCTTCAAGCAGCCGTTTCGGAGCTCGAACAAGCGCGACTACGAGACGGCCATCTTGCAAGGGAATGCAACACAGGCGGCAATGCTGTTGCTGCCTCCTGCAGTCCCTGATCGGCCTCGCGAGTACATGACGGCCGCCAAACGGGTACGCTGGTACATTCTGAACGACATGGGTCTTGAGATTGTGTGTATACTGCATGAGCATCTCGGATTTGGCAACTCTGTTACGTTCCTTGTCATATCCCCCTCCCTGTGGCATGTCCGTACTATATGCTATGTGTGTAATGCACGACTTCTTATGTGCGGGCGTCATGGTGTGGGCAGGCTCGTACCACTGGCAGGCAAGCATTAACCAACAGCGCGGCCACCATGCGAGTGTCAGCACGGACACAAGCACCGGAGGCCCCTCTGCTTCAACAGTACATGGAAGTCACCGCAGGGAGTCTCGATACATACCGCAACGTCATGCAGCGGCATGGATACAACAGCGCCGAGACTCAGGTATGCGGGACAGGGGTGCGAATAGGTGGGGTTGTGGACATCGCATGATGCAAATATCTAGGTGGCGAGATAGAGGTGCTCACAGATTGCGGTGCGGACGGATACCGAGGTAGACAGTGAGTATGAGAAATGCGTGCAATGCAGAGGGAGATGGGGACAGCGGGAGATGGGGACAGTGGGAGATGGGGAAAGGGAGAGATGGGACAGAGGGAGATGGGGAAAGGGAGAGATGGGACAGAGGGAGATGGGGAAAGGGAGAGATGGGACAGAGGGAGATGGGGAAAGGGAGAGATGGGACAGAGGGAGATGGGGAAAGGGAGAGATGGGACAGAGGGAGATGGGGACAGGGAGAGATGGGACAGAGGGAGATGGGGACAGGGAGAGATGGGACAGAGGGAGATGGGGACAGGGAGAGATGGGACAGAGGGAGATGGGGACAGGGAGAGATGGGACAGAGGGACATGGGGACAGGGAGAGATGGGACAGAGGGACATGGGGACAGGGAGAGATGGGACAGAGGGACATGGGGACAGGGAGAGATGGGACAGAGGGACATGGGGACAGGGAGAGATGGGACAGAGGGACATGGGGACAGGGAGAGATGGGACAGAGGGACATGGGGACAGGGAGAGATGGGACAGAGGGACATGGGGACAGGGAGAGATGGGACAGAGGGACATGGGGACAGGGAGAGATGGGACAGAGGGACATGGGGACAGGGAGAGATGGGACAGAGGGACATGGGGACAGGGAGAGATGGGACAGAGGGACATGGGGATAGGGAGAGATGGGACAGAGGGACATGGGGACAGGGAGAGATGGGACAGAGGGACATGGGGACAGGGAGAGATGGGACAGAGGGACATGGGGACAGGGAGAGATGGAGCCAGATGGAGATGCCGACAGAGAGATGTGCAGACAGAGGCAGGTGCGGATAGGTTGTGAGGCATTCAGAGAGTGATGCATATAGTCAGGGGTGAGGACAGAGTGGGATGTGAGGACAGAGTGGGGTGACTAAAGAGTGGGGTGTAATGACAGGATGGGGTGTGATGACAGAGTGGGTTGTGAGTACATTGTGGGGCGAGCACAGAGAGGGGTGTGATGACAGAGAGGGGTGTGATGACAGAGAGGGGTGTGATGACAGAGAGGGGTGTGATGACAGAGAGGGGTGTGATGACAGAGAAGGGTGTGATGACAGAGAGGGGTGTGATGACAGAGTGGGGTGAGTACAGAGTGGGGTGAGTACAGAGTGGGGTGAGTACAAAGTGGGGTGAGGACAGGGTGGGGTGTGATGACAGAGTGGGATGTGAGGACAGAGTGGGGTGACTAAAGAATGGGGTGTAATGACAGGATGGGGTGTGATGACAGAGTGGGTTGTGAGTACATTGTGGGGCGAGCACAGAGAGGGGTGTGATGACAGAGAGGGGTGTGATGACAGAGAGGGGTGTGATGACAGAGAGGGGTGTGATGACAGAGTGGGGTGAGTACAGAGTGGGGTGAGTACAGAGTGGGGTGAGTACAGAGTGGGGTGAGGACAGGGTGGGGTGTGATGACAGAGTGGGGTGAGTACAGAGTGGGGCGATGACAGGGTGGGGCGTGGACGGAGTGGGGAGAGGACAGAGAGGTGCAGAGCGAGATTTGTGTGGTCAGTGCATACACACGCCATGCACAGGGCTGTTTCCCCTCCCCCAGCATACCACCTTTAAGCCCAATCCTCAGCTGCACACATCTCATGACTGCCCCTAATGGTGCGTGTTCTTGCAGGTCCATCGGGCGGTCGCGTTGCCGGCACGGGATGTGCGCACGGGCGAGCCCTCGGCGGTCTATGTGCGCGCAGTACCTTCACACCACGGATCCCCCGCGTTCTCCTGTGTGGAGAATGGTGCGGTGGACACTGAGCATCTGTATGGGAAGTTGGTCCTTATCATGCGCGCGAGGAGGTCCGCGGATGGTCAGGGAGGCCTGTTACATGAGGTAGCATACATCAAGCCCTGGAAGGAGTGTGGGGTTGATCAGTTGACGGGATGTGTGAAGTTAGAGGAGGTTGAAGGGGCCGATGCATGTGTGGTCGTGCCTATTGCTCACCTTCGTCGGGTTGTGCATGTCGTCCAGTCCTTCGATCGGCACGAAGTGTGGTTGCTGAACAAGTGGGCAGCTGGCCTGCGTCGGGGGGGGTGTGTGATGACGACAGGCAGAGCCGTGGGCGACATTCCAGTGTGTGCTGGTTTTAGGGGACAACGTTGGGGACTAATGTTGAGGGTTCACAAGCGTGCAGATTTGTTTACAACATTTTCTACATCCCGCTAGGACGGCTAGGATAAAGTATACCTCAATCCTTTGTGTAGATGGGGATAGGTAATCTCAGCTGGTTCGATATTCTCTATGTTCAAACAGGGGTATTTATTAAACCCTAAAGAATGCAAAGGGACTATACAAAACGTGGAAACAGCAACATGTATAGTAACTCATTCGATTGTACACAGCAAGTAGATATACTAAAAACGGGCTCCTTGTTTAAACCCAGCCTCGACTCCCAACCATACAGGAAACCGAACCTCAGGCCGAAGCTGAAGCCAAAGCGGGGGGGTATCACCTGGGTTACAACGAACTGAGCGCATCACTGATTGGTGCGCTTCATTGTCCCGAAATGCTAGTTGCGAGAATTACCATTTCGTAATCGTCGTTCGAGCGCATAGGTAACCTGGGGGTGTCTTTACGGAAACCTGCGGGTTACCCCCCGAGGGTATCCTGGGGGTATCCCACACTTTCCAGCGGAGCTGGGACTCTTGATTTTTGGGATGTGGATGTCGACCCAACATCATGTGAAAATTCCCTGTGCAACAATCACTTTGAAAATGCGGGAGACCCCAGAGTCACCCTCACGGGGTGACCCACAAGTTCCCTCGTTGTTACCTACAGCCTACCTCCAGACTCTGGCGACGTCAGCGACGACCGCTAACCTTAGCGCCCACCGTGGTAACAGAACATCCGACCAATCGGCGGGGTTTACAGTTCGGGAGGGCACCCCGAGGTTACCCCAACGTTTGGCGGAAAGGTTTTTGGCCTTACCTATTTTGTCGCTTCCCTGCTTCTGCCGAGGCAGCCACGTACGGATATGGTACGGTAAGCCCAACCTGTAAATTTCGTTTTGAATTGATAAATTACGGCTGTTTCCGATCTGATTCTATAGCTTCTATCGCATCGCTCAATATCTTGTAGTCACAGTGATGGGTTGGGTTACGTGGCACAATTCAGTTCACGAACCAATTGGAGCTCTTCGACACCACTTTCTACTGCCTCTCCTCTCCGAGCACCTGTCGAGTACTTATCCTAATCCATCCTGTTACTCACTCGTCATTCCTTAGGTCGTTTTCAGGTCACGATACTCACGTAGAGCAGCTACTACGAGAGCTCAATGCAGCTTACGGTACTTTAACATATAGCAGCTTGTCGCGATTATGTTCTGTCTCTTTTCCTCCAGCGATGTCATAGCATTTCATATATTGCCATTGTTTGATTGACAATAATCTAAACTCTCTTATTTCATGGTCGGTTCTTCATGGCAGAATACCGAACACGGGAGCGATGCGTAAGTTTTCGACATCGACGGGTATCGACCTGCGGAATTGTTATTAAGTGAAGCTTCAAGTAGTGCTCGTCCCGAGGTAAGCTGAAATGGTGTATGATGGGGTTGCAGGAAGAGTGCCGCTCATTTCATTTGCTTCAATGGCGTCAATCTGATTATTTCATCGTCTTTGTCGCAAAGGTTTTGCAGATGCTGTAACAACGGGACGTTAGCTTCATAGTATCTGGCAAGACTTCTTTACTTGTTCTCACTACGCATTTCTCACTCTAACCTCACTATCCCCCTGTATGGATGTCGCCACTCTGTGCAGAACACGGAACGCAATCCTGTCACGCTATGTCACGTATTCGTGAGGTAAGAATCCCTCTTGAGTCATTTGATATTTGTTTTGTCGTCTCGTGTGTTGCAGGAGCACAGCATTATATATGGGTAGTGATGCTTGTGCGGGAGATCAACTAAGAGAGCATTATAGATATAATAACGTGTTGTGTGTAGTATGCACGTTGTTTGCATGTTAGAAAGTGTTCAGATTGTAAAATTGGTTGTTCTGCAATGCTGTACTTCAAATGCGCAGATTGAATAATGGAAGCAATACTTAATGCCAACAGCTAAATTTGTTAGATTGGATTTAAAAACTGCTACGGTATATATGATGGCATCATCATTGCGAAATTATTATTCATAAAGCAGGATTAAGTTTCGTATTTATAAAAAGTAAATGTGCCTATAACGGAGTGCGATTAACAATTCCGTAACATAAATGTTTGAAGGTTTTACTCTAATCTCGGTTATTTTACTTATGGGGTGTTGGCGATGCATTTCACAGCGAGAACGCGGCTCGCGTGTAATTCGCTCCCGCAGGATGGGATGGGTCTTCTGTGGGTCACCACCTGTGGGTGACCTCAGGGTCACCACGCGAAATGGTTTTTGCCGAGGTGACCCGCGGGTCACCTAGACAAGGACCCCGGGGTATCCCACCAGGGGGTAAGCTGGGGGTAACCTGGGGGGGAGGTTTTCAGCCAAACAATTTTACACATGATGTGTCCAGACGTGCGTGGGATTGCACTGCTCGGAAGCATCCTCGAATGTTTCGACAGACGCTTTCTGCAAGCTGCAGCTCAATGCTGCCGCACTGCAGGGCCTCAGATTCGTTTTGGGTGACCCTGAGCACTCAGGGTCCTTTGGGGCTGTAACACTGATCATCAGGGTTGTAAATGGAGAAACACTGATTTCTCAGGGTTAGAAAAAAAAAAACCCTGACACATCAGCGTGAGTTTTAAAAAAACACTGGCGGTGAGAATCCACAACAACTATCACAAGTATAATAAGTTAAGAAAAGTTCAAATATGGTTCTAATGAGCTTCTAATCTAACTACAGGCACAGACCACTTGGCGCTCACACCGCACACACAATTCACATCACACACATGTCTTCATCTTCGTCACTACCACCACCATCGCTCATAGAACCGTGCCTGTGCACGGGGGTCTCTGTCCCCCACCCAGAGCCAGCACCACCAGCATCATCCTCGTCCACCTTCTCTTTCCCCTTAGCACTAGGTTGCTTCTTTGGTGCTGCCACTGTTGTGATGGGCTTGCGCTTCTTGTACGCCCTCCAGATCTTCACCACCTCCGCCCAGTCGGGCTCGTACGGCAGCAATGCCATGCACATGAGGTCCGACAGCCGCGCATCCTTGATGGCACCCCTCAGCGAGCTCTTGATGATGTTTTGACGCGAGAACCCCCGCTCGCACTCGACTGTGCTCAACGGTAGCACAGCGACAGCCATCCACAGCTTCACCAGGTTGGGGTACGCGTCCTCCCAGTCAGGAGACTTCAGCGTCGCCGAGAGACCCGGGTAGAACTTTCTCTCGGACTTCGGGGCTCCAGCGAGAACCGTGCAGAACGTGCGGAGCTCCTTGAACGCCTTCTTCTTGTTGACACCTGGAGGGAGTCAGGGAGTGCGCAAGCACAAGGAAAAGAACAAGGTAAGCAAGGCTCACCAGACAAGTGGTGCCAGTGTTTAGGTGCTACACAACAAAGCAGCACAAACAACGATGCACAGACCAAAGAGAAGTACGTACCTGGAACGATCTCGTCGCACTCTTGGGCCCTGAAGAGCGTCGTGAGGGACTCAAGGTGCTCCGTGCAGACCATGGAACGCTCCTGCCGTCCATGGGGCCACTCGTCGGGCATGAACAGCTTCACACCGCTCAGCTTGTCGAGTGAACCCAATCGCTCATCCAGGTTATGCACGAGCGCCTCCGCCATCGCCGTGCACTGCTCCACGCATCGCTCATGGGTCCCTGCAATGGGGTAGCCTTCAAGGGGGGAATCATGCAGCACGTAGCAGTGAGAACGAGGCGCGGACCTCGTTCTGAGCCATGTAGCGAACGAGGCGCACCCACGTCTCCATCGGCAGATGGTTCTGGGTGGTGAAGTGAAGGGAGTTCAGAAGGCTGATGACGCGGGTCGTCTCGTCATCTTTGGCGAGCGTATGCTCGTCAATTCGCGGCTGCTTCCCAGCCTGAGCTAGCATCTGCTTCTGGTGATTGATGGCCAACTGGTGCTTGTTCGTCGCGGCATGCCGCTTGAAGGCTTGGGTCTGAAGATCGGTTGCACCGTGCCCACTCTTGCCACACTTGCCACCGTCACCTGCAAAGTCGATGCACAATCTGCACTTGAACGCAGGCATGCCAGCAGTGTTTTTTATGAGGATGAGCCATGGGTAGTCGGTCGACCACGTCGACTTGAACGTTTCAAGGGCCTCTTCGTAAATCAGAGTGGTTAGTGACGGTTTTTTAAAGTTAGATGGCGTGGGCGTAACGTGGTTTACCGACTCGCCGGCATCAGCAAGAGGACGTCCAGGATCTGTAGGATCGGCCCAACGGAGCACGGCCTGCTTGTAACGAGGCGGAGGCTTCGACGACGACGCACGAGATGGCAAGCAGACGCTCGGTCCGGCTGCTGACGGCACGGCCGGCTTAGCAGTATGCGCGGGCTGGGGACGATTGTCTCCGCGGCAGAGGCCAGACGCTTCACCAGTGTTTGCTACTGAGGCGACCGGACCTGGCTTCTCTTTTTCATGGGAGAGCGCGGAAACTAGAAAATCTAGTCCCGTTCTGGCCTCCAGCATCTCGGTGGCGGCGTAAAGTGCATCGTCGTCATCATCACCGCAGCTGTTCTCACAGGTGATCGCCATGGCGCGTTCACGTCACCTTCCTGAATCGGTGAGTAGTAACGAGAAACCCTGGGAGAGAGAGAGCCTGCCGAGCAGGCTTCAGGGAGACTGCAGAGATTGATGTTTCGGAAAGGGATGGAGTCTGGAGAGCTGGAATGGCAGAATCACGAGACAGCCTGCGTGGGGTGCCTGAGCGGGCCGCCCCAGCACGCCCTGCCTTGGTGGAAAGAACAATGCAGACCACTGGCCCACTGGGCCACTAGGCTTGGTTGTTTGTGCACATCAATGGAAAGTAATGACAAGTGTAGGTTATCCAACGTGACAACGGTACATTGCTTCAGCTAGGACAGCCAATCTCTTTACGCCGTTTTGCCAACACAGCCCGAAATTAACCCGTTCAACTGTATCTGGGCGCGCCGCAGGGTGGCGTCGGTGCAGGGTGGGTTCATGCATGATGACGGCGCGCAAAACTGCGAGAATCACGGAGTTTTCGGTTTCAGGGTCGTCTCCGATACAACACTGACTCGTCAGTGTCGACAAACTAGAAACACTGGAAAATCAGGATTAGGAAAAGAAAAACACTGATTCATCAGGGTTGTAAAAACAAAAAGGCTGATTCATCAGGGTTACAATAAAAAACCGGGGTCAAACATCAGGAAATCAGGGTAAAATTCCTGGAATCTGAGGCCCTGCCGCACTGTGCAAAATTCGTTCTCGCCTTGACTGAGGATGCACTGTACAAATCAGTTGTTCTTCCACATGTCTTTGGTTCAGGGCGAGACACCAACCGTGCATGCCTCACTGAACTGAAGTGTATGGTTGAAAGACGTCGGGAAATGTCAAGAGATGTGAACCGTGAGATATCTCGAAGCTCAAATCTCACAGTTCAGCCCACTTCGGCAGGAATTAGGGGGTGTCCGAAGTGAGACGTCGACATTCGCTGACATCCCTTTTTGGATGTCGGTAAATTTAAGCCCTCGGATCGAGGGTTTCGACCGTCAAGATTCGCCGAGATCCACCAACGGATGTCGACGCTTCACTTCGGACACTCTCTTATGGGCGATATGGGCGTTATAAATCCGCTGGCCCAGACGCAGGCTCGGGAACTGGAAAATTTTCGGCAATTTTCAGGTGCATGCAACTTAGTCGGGAAAAGCTGCTCAGGTGCATGCTATCCCGTCGTGTTTCTCCCTCTGTTATTAAGGTTTGTACACATCTGCCACTAAAAACACTGTTGTGTCAGGGGATGCAACACAAGCAGCACACGCAACGCAACACACAAAATCGGCCTGGCAGGGAAGCCCGAAAAGGAAAAAATCAATGCCTTGGGAGCCTGGACATTGTTCGGGAAATCAGCCCTAAACATGGGAACAGTCCCGGTGTTTAGGGTTGATGTCCCGTAAGGCAGTGGAAAAAAAAACAAAGGGAACCTGTCTTAGAAACTTAGGCATGAATGACTTGCACTATCGAGAGGTTTGGTACAAGGAAGAAACCTAAGGGGTTGTACCCCACAGTATCTACCCCACTACAGCCTACCCAAAACTATAACACATATATATGTTTGACACACCCACATAGGCAAAGTGGGGGAGAGCAAGAGGTCACAAGACCAGTCAAGGAAAGCAAAACAAGCTCAGGGTGGATCACAACGTCACCACACACACTGAGCACAAGCAAACGGCCACAAGGCCAGTTCACATGCAGAGGTATATATGCAACAAGAACAGTACAGTGATCTCTACCTAGCAAGAGCAAGCATACACGTATATATATATAGATCACAGTACAAGCAGAGACTACAGCAAGTGTGGAAACGTAGGCACAAGGCCCAACAAGGTACAAAAGCGCTGATGGTCACCAGACGGAAGTGCCTTGGTGAATATATCAGCAGTGTTGGCCCGAGTGGCCACGTGAGCAAGGCGAAGCTGACCACGCTGCTGCAACTCTCGAGCCAGGAAGTAGCGCAGAGCGATGTGCTTCGTTCTGTGCTCCAGTCTGTGCTCCTGACACAAGGCAATGGCGGCCTTGTTGTCGACGTACAGCACTGGAGGAGAACGAGGCCGCTCTCCCAGGTCGGTCAGCAGGTAGGTGAGCCAGCGTAACTCCTGTGCAGCCTTGGCTGTGGCGTAGATCTCAGCCTCACAACTGGAGCTGAGAACTGAAGACGAGCGTGTAGAACGCCAAGAAACTGAACCAAAGCCAAGGCTGAAGGTGTAACCCTGTGACGACCGCTGCGTAGCCTGATCGTCAACCCAAGAAGCGTCCGAGTGACCAGTGAGGACAACGTCGCCCCGTCCTCCAAGCACGAGCCCCATGCCCGATGTACTGCACAAGTAGCGCAGTACCCTCTTAGCAGCATCCATGTGCACCTTTCGGTGCCGACCGGGAGCTACGTAGCGAGCCAGAAGGCCAAGAGGATATGCGAGGTCAGGACGAGTGCAGGTCATCAGGTACATGAGGCAGCCAACTAGCTCTGGGTAAGGACCACTCGGCTCTACGGACTCGTCCGAAGGTGGAGCTGAGAGCGAGTGACATGTAGCCAGAGGAGTGGCCTGTGCCGAGGACCAGGTGAAGCCGAAGCGCTGAAGGACCTGCTGCACCATGTGTGACTGAGTCAGGGTGATGGTGCGGCGTGCTCTGTCCCGGGTGATCTGCAAGCCAAGGTAACTGCGCAGCTCACCCAGGTCTGTGCACGTGTGTCTCTTCTGCAGCTCCGACTTCACCAGGGCGAGAGCCTCAGTGTCAGCAGTGGCAAAGACCAAGTCGTCGACGTACACGAGGATGTAGAACGGCGGCAGCGAAGTGTCGGTGCGCAGAAACAGCGACGGGTCAGCAGTCGACGGAGTAAACCCAAGAGCCGCAAGTGTCGTCCTCAGTGTGTCGTGCCACTCACGTGGCGCCTGGCGGAGACCGTAGACTGGCCGCCGGAGGCTCCACTGGGTACCAGGAGGGAACGACCCAGTGAAGCCAGGCGGGCGGCGCAGCCAGATCTCCTCGTGCAGGCTGCCCTGTAAGAAAGCTGTGCTGAAGTCAAGAGAGTGAAGCTCGTAGTCACGCTGAGCGGCAACGTGCAGCAGCGCCCGAAGAGCGGTCATCTTCGGGGTGGGGGAGAAGGTCTGGAAGAAGTCAACTCCCTCTCGCTGACTGAGGCCTCGAGCAACGTAACGAGCCTTGAAGACAGGCGGAGAACCTGGCGGCCGCTTCACCCTGAAAATCCACATGCGGTCGACGATGTTTGCCCCGAGAGGGGGAACCTCATCGACGTACGTGCCTGTGGACTTCCAGGATGCCATCTCTGCATCCATGGCTGTCTGCCACTGAGAAGAGTACTCACCCGCGATCGCCTCAGCGTAAGAGCGCGGGGTCGGGATGTCTGGTGCATCCGGGTCTCCCTCAGGGGCAAGCAGCATGGCCACGAGATGAGGCGCAGCGGCTGCAAGACACTCAAGGTCCTCGTGCCTGTCCTCAAGGACGTCCGTTCTAAGAGCACACTCACCCCCGACGGACGGAGGACAGACAGACTCCGACTCAGCAACAAGACTAGCAGCGTAGTCTAGACGACAGGCAGCAGCAAAGTCGACAAGCTCAGCGACTAGGGCAGACGCAGCAGTGGACTCAAACGACGGGTCAGTGACAACAGTGGCTAACAGACGCGTGACAGTAGGGTGCTCAGTACGAAACTGGTCAGACTCAGGGTCCGCAAGTCAGGCAGAGAGGACGCAGGGGGAGACGGCAGAGGAACTCACGGCGAAGGAGAGGAAGGATGACGGACTACAAGGTGGGTACCGGGGACAGCCGGCTGACGCTGACGATGAACACGACGACCCGAACGACCAGAACGGACAGGCGAGACAGGATGCGACGCAGGCTCTCGACGCTCAGCAAGGCCCCCTGTCTGCTCAGTGTACGGAGAAGGAGCAGGCAGCGGTGAGCCAGGCTGTAACGGAAGACCAGTAGACGAAGGGAGACTGAGAACCTGGCGAAGCACAGAGTCAGGCGGTGGCTGAAACGATGGAGACGGCGGAGCGAAGAACAGGCGCGGCTATGCAGTGCCACTAGCACCAGCAGCTCCAGCACCTCCAGCAACTCCAGTACCCTCAGCAGCTCCAGCACCTCCAGCAGCTCCAGAACCCTCAGCGCCAGCTCCTCCAGGACCAGCTCCACCAGCTGCAGCACCCCCAGAACCAGCACCTCCAGCCTCAGTACCTCCAGCAGCAGCACCCCCAGACCCTGGGTCTCCAGCAGTAGCACCCTCAGACACAGCACCTCCAGCCCCAGCAGCTCCAGTACCTCCGGGACTCCAGCGACTCCAGCACCTCCAGTACCTCCAGTACGAGCACCTCCGGGACCAGCGACTCCAGCACCTCCAGTAGACAAAGGACCAGCACCACTCCCAGCTCTAGTGACGTCAGCAGAAGTACCTCCAGCAGCAGAGCCCCGAGCTCCAGAAGCGCGACCCCGACGGCGATCGTTCCAATCGTGCAGCTGCTGTGAGGTGAGAGGCACACGCGGACGAAGACGGCTACTCCAAGGAGACCGCGGAACAGCAGTCGCAGAACCCTCAGGCGTCGCACCCCCAGATTCAGCACACGCAGGCTCAGCACCCCCACACGCAACACCCCCAGGCTCAGGACCTCCAGGCTCCTCACGCGCAGGCTCAGCACCTCCAGGCTCCGCACCCTCAGGCTCCTCACGCCCAGGCTCAGTGCCTCCTGACTCCGCACCCCCAGTCTCAGCACCTCCTGGGTCCTCACGCTCAGGCTCCGCACCCCCAGGCTCAGCACCCCCACGCTCCGCACCCCCAAGCTCCGCACCCCCAAACTCCGTACCCCCAGGGACAGCACCACCCCCAGCAGGACCTGAGTCACCAGTGACCTCAACAGGCGCAGGTACGGGAGGGTCTACCTGAGAGACACCTGAAGGAGCAGGACCTGGCGCGGGGAGGGGGTCTACCTGGGGAGGACCTGGGGCGAGAAAGAGCGGCGGGGGGTGGGGGACGAGGGGCAGTGCGGTAGGGAAAG